TCCCCATACTGATGCTCGGTTTGAACTGCAGGAGATTGTCTTGACCATGTCTACATGCCTAAATGCACTGAGTTGCCGCCATGTGATTGGCTGACTAGAAATTAAGTGTTAACGAGCAGTTGGACAGGTGTACCTAATAAAGTGGCCGGTGAGTGTATATGGCAAACCTTAAAAAACATAAACCAAATTGGGATTGTGTGCTGATGGTTTGTTGAATATTTTTTTTTTTAGAATAGAGTAAGTAAGTAAATGTACTATATTAATCTCCATTGGGGAAATTAGTTGTCTGCACTTTTCCCATCAATCATGTGAGCACACGTGGAGCAGTGGGCAGGTGCCTGGGGAGCAGCTGAAGGGTTGAGGGCCTTGCTAATAGACCCAGAGTGGGGCAAATGAAGTTTGCCCACCCACATTTTTGTTGGTCTCAAGAGAAATGGCAACCCTTTTTAACCTCTGCACCACCACTCTCCTTAAATAGTCGTTTCATTAACCTCTCTTGCTTTTAGCCTTGATTTATTTGTAGTTAAACCATATTTTCTGCGAACGTAAAACTAATAGAAATGTTTAAATCGGTTTCATAGCCCTCATACAATAGAATAATGCTGCACATGTTTGGGAATCAAATAACTTTTTGATTGAAATTAGGGCTGCAACAACGAATCGATAAAATCGATAAAAATCGATTATTAAAAGCATTGGCAACAAATTTCATTATCGATACCTTGTGTCATGGGATTTATGTGTCCCTCGCCGTGTCGTGGAGCCGTTTATGTCACCCGCAGAGCGTTGTCAATGACCGCAGTTAGTTACCAAGAAAGAAAATACCTGTAAAGAGCCGCCCTCTCTGACTCTCTAGTGAAAAGCAGAGACTACTAACTTTAAACCAGTTTTTAAATCGTGTTGTTAGGTCAAGTAGATTTTAAGATACAATAAAAATATATTATTGTTTATTATTATTTTTTACCATTATTTTATTTATTTTTATATGCTAAATTTATTCTTTTTAAAAGACTGATTTGATGCGCGCCGCGTCGCGATGAGGAAGTGCGTGCGGGGGAGGAGGGAGACCTTAAATCCACCGTTTCGTACTCCTCTGGGGCCAAAAGTATAAAAACTCTCCAGTTTTTTCTGACTGAGGCCCAAAGTTATTTGTTGAGCAGCAAAAAGTTTCAGGATGAAGGAAAAAAAAAGACATGATTGAGCAGCAGGTCTGCGGGGAGAGGGGGTCTGCTTCAGAACCGATTACTGGGTCAGAACAATGTGTTAGTCAAACAGAACCAACAAGAATGAAACAAAAAGTAAAGAATTAGAGAAAAAAATAAATGTTAAATGTAAATAAATCCTAATTATA